TGAAGTAATTTCTTAACTCTTAATGTAAGAAGTCAAGAGACAGTGCCTAATATTGACAGATCAATAACAACATAAGCATATTATTTAGGTATACAACAACCATCAGAAGAAGAATAAAAATGTAAGAATAGTTAACAAGACTAAATACAGTCCTCTTGGGGTTAGAACAGGGGATGTGGCAAAGATTCCCCTTAAATGTTTGTAAATGATGTATCTGATAAGGGGGTTAACATCTAAAATATATAAGGAACTCCTACAACTCAACACCAAAAAAAAAAAAAAAAAACCTGATTAATAAATGGGCAGAGAACCAGAAAAGACATTTTTCCAAAGAAGACATAGAGATGGACAACAGACAACATGAAAAGATGCTCAACATTGCTAATTGTCAAGGAAATGCAAATCAAAACTCCAATGAGCTATCACCTCACAACTGTCAGAATGGCTAATATCAAAAAGACAAAAAAATAATTGTTGATGAGAATGGAGGAAAAAGGGAACTGTTGGTGGGAACATAAATTGGTGTAAGCACTGTAAAAAATAATATGAAGGTTCCTTAACAAATTAAAATAGAAATACCATACAATTCAGTAATTGCACTTCTGGGAAGAAAAAGAACACTAATTTGAAAAGACATACACACTCCTATGCCAAGATCTGAAAGCAACCCAAGTGACCACCGATAAACAGACAAAGAGGATATGGTATATACTGACAATAGAATATTACTCAGCCATAAAATAAGAAAGAAATCCTGCCATTTATAAAAGATGGATGAAACTAGACGGTATTATGCTAAGTGAAGTAAGTCTGATCAAAGACAAAATACCATATGATTTCACTTATGTGTGGAATCTAAAAAACGAAACAAATGAACAAGCAAAACAAAACAGAAACAGACTCATAAATCCAGACAGCAAACTGGCAGTTGCCTGAAGGGAATGAGATAGAGAGATGGGCTTAAATGAAGGGGATTAAAAGGTACAACCTTACAATTATAAAATAAAAAGTCATAGGGATGTAAAGTAAAGCACAGAGAATATAGTCATAATCTTATACAGTGACAGATGGTAACCACTTACTATGGTAAGCATTTCATAATGTATACAAGTGTCAAATCACTATGTTGTACACCTGAAACTAATGTGTCAACTATCCTTCAAATAAAGATAATTTTAAAAATAATCCCCTTAACATTGTAACCTCTTTTACAATTTAATTTTTTTTAAATATTTTTTGAAGTAAGCTCTATGCCAGGCATGGGGCTTGAACTCATGACTCTGAGATCAAGAGTCAAGTGCTCTACCAACTGAGCCACCATGGTAACCCTATGACTTGATTTTTAAATACCATATACATGTGACATTTGGAAATTAAAAAGGGGTGCCTGGGTGGCTCACCCAGGTTAAGTGTCTGACTTCACCTCAGGTAACGATCTCACGGTTTGTGAGTTCAAGCCCTGCGTCATGCTCTGTGCTGACAGCTCAGAGCCTGGAGCTTGCTTTGGATTCTGGGTCTCCCTCTCTGCCCCTCTCCCACTCATAAATAATAATAAATGAATAAGCTTTAAAAAAAAAATTCCCAAAAAAGCAAAAATAATTGGCACTATTTTCAGCAGTAAATAACTCATATATTCATTTATAGTAAGGTACTGAATTTCTACTTAGTGTAGTGGTTGCCCCTTAAGAAAAAAATAGTTCAACAATTTTGTGCATGATGTATTGAAGATGTTCGAAACACTGAAAGTAAGCTTAAAATACATTCAATTCTGATTATTCAGGCTAGTAGGTTAGAATGGTATTAATAGTTAAAAAAAAAAAAAGAAAATATGCCTCCAAATCATTAGTAATTTGGTTTTGAAGTATATGTGTATTTAAGTCCTTGAATAAATTTGTTTTGTGTATCTGTATGAATGTGGATATGTGAGACAAGACTTTAGAGACTCATTATTTCTCAAATAAAATGATGAAATCACAATGTGCAGTTCCAAATTCAAAGAAAGCGGCAATTTTTCTTGGCTTCTCTAACTTGTCCCACTGCTAATCCACAGCGGAAACATTGCACCCTGTCATACTGACATAAACGGCAGAGCACTCTTTTAAAACAGACATCAACACTATTATGGGATTAATCACACCATATTTGCCAATATCAATGGTGAGGTGGCACTATTAAAAGTCCTAATGCAGGAGCGCCTGGGTGGCTCAGCCGGTTAAGGGTCTGACTTTGGCTCAGGTCATGACCTCACTGTTTGTGGGTTTGAGCCCTACATTGGGCTCAGATTGTGTCTCCCCCTCTCTCTTGCCCCTCCCCTGCTCACATTCTGTCTGGCTCTCTCACAGAAATAAACATTAAAAAATGTTTTAAAAAATTAAAAAAAAAATCCTAATGCAATACCATATGGAAACCTTTTAAAACTTTTCTCAAACTATGCTAACTCAGGGACTCAGCCAGTATTACTAAGACTCTGCCTACTAATTTCAAACTACGCAACTTTATCACTTTTAAATTTAACTATTTTTTTCTTCTCTGACACTATTTTCTAATCCATACAATGGAGCTAATTTCTATCTCAGTGTTGCTGTTAGAATCAAATGAGACAATTTATTTCAAACATGTGATGTATGGCAGCTGATCAATACATGCCAATTCTATTTCCTCTTTTGTCCCACATGTACCTTGGTACAAGTTAAAGGTTAGTCTAATTTGAAAATTTATCCAAATTACTAATTTATTCAACAATTAAATACTGAAACCCAGATGTATACAGGCATTCTAAATAGAGAGGGTGGTTGTTCTATGCAAAACTTAGAAAAAGAAGATGAAACTTACACGAAAACTTTAAGACCATTAGAAGAAAATATTTTTAAAAACTTTATGATCTTGGGATAGGAGAGGATTTCATTAAAAATAAAAAAAAAGGAGGGGTGCCTGGGTGGCTCAGTTGGTTAAGTGTCCGACTCTTGATTTCAGCTCAGGTCATGATCTATCTCCCGGTTCATGCAATTGAACCCCATGTCTACCTCTGCGCTGGCAGCATGGAGCCTGCTTGGGATTTGCTCTTTCCACCCCTCTTCCGCTTATGCGCATGCTCCTTCTCGCTCCCTCTCTCTCAAAATAAATAAACGTTTAAAAAAAATAAGAAAAGCAAAGGACAAAAGAAAAAACATATTTGACTAAAAAATGTAAAACTTCCATGTGACAAAAAATAGCAAGAAGTTCAAACACTAGCAATATAGGGGGAAATTACAACACATAAATCAGTAAGAAAAAGAAAAATAACCCAAAAGAAAAGTGAGCAAGGAAATAAATAATCAACAGAAAATGAAATATAAATGATCAATCAACAAGAAAAGATGCTTAATCTCATGGATAACCGGGAAAACTGCTACTTAAAAAAAATAAGGAAACCAGGGACACTTGGGTGCTTGGTCGGTTAAGCGTACGACATCGGCTCAGGTCATGATCTCACGGTTCGTGGGTTTAAGCCCCGCGTCAGGCTCTGTGCTGACAGCTCAGAGCCTGGAGCCTGCTTTGGATTCTGTGTCTCTCTCTCTACCTCTCCCCTGCTCGTGCTCTGTCTCTCTCTCTCTCTCTCTGTCTCACTCAAAATTAAAAAAAATAAATAAATAAAATAAGGAAACCATTTTAGATATACAAAAATTTTCTTTTTTTTAAAGCAATAAGCATGTTTTTATTTATTTATTTTTTAAAGTACGCTTCACAGCCAACATGGGGCTTGAACTCACAATCCTGAGATAAAGAGTCACATGCTCTACCAAGTAAGCCAGCCAGATGCCACAAACTGACAAAAATTTTCAAAAGTCAACACCAGTCAGTACTGGTGAACACACAGCAAAGTGGAAACTCTCAGTCACTGCTAGTGAAATAGAAATGGTTACCAGCCACTTTAGAGATTCTTTAGCACTTATTTAGCAAAACACATTAAATTCTCTGTGATCCAAAAATTCTATTTGGCACACATGTTCACTGTATGTTCACAGTAGCAAAGTTCATGATAGTAAAAAAAAAACTAATGATAATTTAAGCAGCACAAGGAATGGATAAACAGTATGGCAGTCATATAACAAAATACTACATAGCAAACATGTATACATACATTTGTGTGTACACATATGAACTTGGATAGATCTCAAGACATAATGATAAATGAAATTATGATACTGTATCATTTATGTGAAATTTCACAACACACAAAACGGTATTTTACATACACATGCATGAATAATATATGTAAGAGTATTAAAACTGTACTAAAAACCTACATTTTAAATGCATGGGGGCTGTTGTCTTTGAGAGGACAAAGACGATGTCAACTTTATAGGATTTGTTTTATTAAAAAATAACAAATATAACACCAACAGCTGTCAATTCTGAGAGGCGTATATTTGTTATATTATTCTTGATACTTTAGTCAATTTTCTAAATTGTAAAAAAACCAAAAACTAATAAAGGTCACCAGTAAGATCAGAATTCAACTCTCTTCACCTATGTAAATACTGACGAAAAATAATATATGTGAATTCAACATGCTAAGAATACAACAGGTTAAGTAAATGGAATATATTCCTTGTTATGTAATTACTCTAATAAACCTCACAAAAAGTGGAATAAAACGTATCCTGGAAATGAGGTAACGATTTTGATTTTTTTTTTTTTTTTAACGTTTATTTTTGAGACACAGAGAGACAGAGCATGTACGGGGGAGGGTCAGAGAGAGAGTGAGACACAGAATCCGAAGCAGGCTCCAGGCTCTGAGGTGTCAGCACAGAGCCCGACGTGGGGCTCAAACTCACAGACTGTGAGATCATGACCTGAGCTGAAGTCGGACGCTTAACCGACTGAGCCACTCAAGCGTCCCACGAATTTTGATCTTAAAGAACTTTCATAAAATCAGTAAAGTGAATTGTCTTTCATTTGCATATTTCCAATTTTCATCTAAGCATTAAACATACAAACCCTGCAATAAACCAACTAACCTGTATGGGTTCTTCTATGTCTCTGCAGTTCATCACTCCTTGTGAATCTTTTGCCACAAAACATCCAGTTGCATACAAAAGGTCTTTCTCCAGTATGCCAGCGAAGATGTGCTCGTAGGTGAGATGTTTTGCCATAAACTTTTCCACATCCTTCAATATGACAGATATGCTGTTTCTTTTTTCCTGGTTCATTACTGCCTCTAACAAAAACAAAAACCAAACATTAATTATACTCTTAGACACCAAGCTTGTAATTACAGAAAAACAAAAGGGAATCAACGTTCTTAAATGATACACTTCTGAATGGGTTTTTAAAATCATGCCACAACTGTAGTTAAAAATCAGAAAAATTCTAATCAAAAAAGGGTTATGTATGAAACTCAAAACTGTTAGGAAAACATGTTAACCTCAGAGAGTTCGTGTTCTACCACGACTTCATGTTCGTTCCCTAACAGCCTCTTCCCTTTGGAAAAAATCTCTAAGCTTTTCAAGACACTTGAAAATTCTTCTCAAATACCAAAAAAATGGTAATCTCCATTTAAAAGTGTACAGTTCAGAGTTTCACTCCCAGTAGGAAAGAAAGCATGAAGAGCTCCATTGGCCTAGCCCCTAGTGAAACCAGTGAAAAGTATGAAAACAAAACAAATAATATGTACAGTTCCTGGAAATGGCTCTATGAACATATAGCAAATAAATAAATACTCAAGAAAATTAAGAGTTGGTAAGAAGAGTGAGAGCCTGTGCTATTTGAACCAAGACCCAACCCTCTCTCCCAATTTCCTATCACTTCCCTTGACACATAAACACTGCAGATTGGCGCAGCCAAGAACAGGGTTCCCTTTTCACACCTCCTAGTTTGAGCTTATCTCCCTAGGAAGGGGCAAGAGGTCAGCATTTCTTATTCCACCCCCAGTTACCTGCTGCTGAGGCTGTTTCAGGCAAGTGTGACTGACAGGTAGGGAACTCTCTTCTACCCAAACCCAACTCCTGAGACCTTGGCTCTACCTTGGACAGGGCACAGTGAAAACACTGCAGTCCAGTCACCTTTGACTCAGCTCCTTTGTAGTGCATACATCAGAACTTCCAAGCCAGCAGAGGCAAGTCAAGAAAGCCTGAGGCCATTGCTGCTGCCCTGCCACCAAGCATTTAGCTCTCAGAGCAGGGATGCCACTCAGAAAGAAATGTGCCACTATCCCAACCCTATGTTCAGGAGCCATGACAAAGAGATGTTGGCTAGAGAGAGCACAGCATATAACAGAATTCCAAATCTCTTCCCAAGGATCTGAATTCATTTGCAAACAAAGTGTGGAAAAACTTCAGCGTATGGGTGCTCTTAAAATCAGTGGAGGCGGTTGCAAAATGAAGTTGGGAGGGGACTAATAGATACAATGGAGAAATAGGCAAAACTATGCTCACTAGGCTAACTGAAAGAAGGGAGGGATGAGGCAGCTGGGAGTAGCCCTACAGAGTCATAAACCTCAAAGCGCAAGCCTGTTGATCTAGTCCTTTAAAAAAAAAAAATCTGGGGGCGCCTGGGTGGCGCAGTCGGTTAAGCGTCCGACTTCAGCCAGGTCACGATCTCGCGGTCCGTGAGTTCGAGCCCCGCATCGGGCTCTGGGCTGATGGCTCGGAGCCTGGAGCCTGTTTCCGATTCTGTGTCTCCCTCTCTCTCTGCCCCTCCCCCATTCATGCTCTGTCTCTCTCTATCCCAAAAATAAATAAACGTTGAAAAAAAAAAAATCTGATTGGATCACTTTGTAGAGCAATATACATTTCAGGGCTTTGAAAACAATAGAGCAATCAGTGGACAATTAGTGGAGGTTAACAACTGGGTGTGGTTAGGGACAGGACATTAAAGATCTCTGCCCAAACCACTGTCCTCCAGGGTCACTGTAAGCATACGGAATTTTGCATCCACTGAGGAGCAACATACTTCATGGCGACAGTGAGCAACATGCTTCATGGCGAGTTAAGGGAAGTTCACCAAAATAATCCAGCCAGTCACTAAATAAGCAAGCAAACAACAATAAACCAGGCGTGGGGGGATGGGGGTGGGCAGTACTAAGAGTTGCTACAATGTATTATCTAAACCATCCAGCTTCCAACAAAAAATCTAAGACATGCCAAAAATAAAACAGAGGAATATGACCCTTCACTAAAAAAAAAAAAAAAAAAAAAAAAAAAAAAAAAAAAGGCAAATGAAACTGGGAGAGCAGATTTAACAAGACTTCAAAGTAGCCATTTATAAATATGTTTAAAGAACTAAAGGACACCATGATTAAAGAAGCAAGAAGATATAATGACAATGTCACATCAAATAGAGAATATCAATGAAGAGTTACAAATGGTTAAAAAAACTACCAAGAGGAAATTGTGGAAATGAGAAGTACAACTGAAATGAAAAATTCACTAGAGGGACTCAAAAAAGGGAAGGAATAGTAAAATTAAAGATAGATCAATAGAGACGATGTAACTTAAAAAGAGACAAGAAAAAGAACAAAGGAAAATGAACAGAGTGTCTGAGAAATGTGGGACATCCAAGTATCGGTGAGGGAAGGAACGGGGAGGACAGGGGAGAGGAGGAGGAGGAGGGAGAGAAGGAGAGAGAGAAAAAGTGCCACAGAAAAAATATTCAAAGATATAATGACTGCAAACTTAATTAATTTACTCAAAAACATGAATCTACACATGCAATAAGCTCAACAAACTCCAAGCAGACTAACTGCACAGATCCACAAGTAGACATCCTACGTACTAAAAAATCCTGAAACCCAAAGACAGGACAAAATCCCAAAAGCGGCAAGGGAAAAATAACTCCTCACTTACAAGGGAACTGCAGTAAGAATAAGAACTTGCTTCTCAGCAGAACAATGGAGCTTAGAAGGCAGGGTGAAAACATATTCAAAGTATTCAAAGCAAACAACTCAAACAAGACTCTATCTAGCAAAACTACCTTTCAGAAATGAAACAAAGATACTCCTGGATACACAAACATAGAGAATTTGTTTTGAGCAGACTGCTTTGCAAGAAATAGTAAAGGAAGATCTTCAGGTTGAATCAACTGGATGCAGAAAGTAATTACACAATTAAGATGCACACAAACAAGCAAGAGATCACCAGCAAAGGTAATTATGTAATTACAAAGGACAGTGTAAGTGCGTATTGCTTGTCTTACCTGATTTGAAAAGTAATTTTAAAAACACTAGGTGTAAAATGTATTGTTAAAGGCCATAACATTACAGAAATGTAATATATTTAATATATTTGCCATTAACAGCACAAAGCAGGGAGGTGGGAGCAAAACTCGACTGGGCTAAGAAAATGATGCCAGAAAGGAACTCAAATATCCAGAACAAGCAGAGAACTACTGATAAAGTTAACATAGCAAAAGTTATATATGCTTGCTCATCTTCTCTCAATTTCTTTACGAGACATTACATAAAGTAATAATTATAATAACGTATTATTGGGTTTGTAACACAGATGGATAATATATATAATAACATCACAAAAAGAAGTAAGCTATAAAGAGAGAACATTTCTATAATTCACTGGGATTAAGTTACTATAAATCTTAAACATATAATGATCAATATGTATATGATAAGGCCCAGAGCAAGTACTATGGAAATAACTCAAAATAATATAAGTGAAAAAATTATTAACAAAATTAAAGTGCTATAGGGAAGGCTGTGTGGCTAAGTTGGTTAAGCATCTGACTTCGGCTCAGGTCATGATCTCCCAATTTGGGAGTCTGAACAGCTCAGAGCCTGGAGCCTGCTTTGGATTCTGTGTCTCCCTCTCTCTCTGCCCCTTCCCCACACATGCTCTGTCTCTTTGTCAAAAATAATTAAACAATAAAAAAAATTTTTTTTAATAAATAAAAAAATAAAGTGCTATATTATATTCGCTTAATGAAAAAGAGAGTAACAAAGGAGGAAAAAAGACATGACACACACAAAAACAAGCAAACTGAAAGACAAATTCAACCATATTAATAACATCAAATGCAAATGGATTACACAATGCATTCAAAAGACAGATTTTGTCACAGTGAATTAAAGAAAAAACAAAAAAACACTAAGATCCAAACTACATGCTGTCTACAGGTGACATAGGTCACAAAGACTGAAAGATACAGGGAGATTAAAGTAAAAAAGATGGAAAAAGATATGCAAACAACCACCACAAGAAAGCTGGAGTGGCTGTACTAATAATACCAGACAAAATAAACTTTAAAAACAAATGTTATTGAAGACAAAGGGGGAAATTTTATAGGGCTAAATGGGTCAATCCATCAGGAACATATAACAATTATAAACATACGTGCACTTAGAGTAACAAGAGAACACCTAAACAGATGAAGTAAACTGACAGAAATGAAGGGAGAAAGAGACAATTCAACAGTAACAGTTGGAGATATCAATACTCTATTTGCAATGATATTTTCATAAAACAATTAAGCAGAAGAGCAACAAGGAAAGAGAACACTTGATAAACTTGACCTAACAAATATCCATAAAACACTCCACTAAACAGCAGCAAAATATACATTCTTCTCAAGTGAACATGTAATGTTCTCCAAGATAAATCATATGGCTAGGCCATGAAACAAACCTCAACAGAAGACAGAAGTAATGCAAAGTATGTTTTCTGACCACAATGACATAAAAACTAGAAATTATAGCAGGAAATTGGAAAATTCACAAATACCTAGAAATTAAATAATACACTCCTAAACAACCAGTGGGTCAAAGAAGAAATCGAAAGGGAAAGCAGGAAAAAGCCCGAGATGAATGAAGATACAACATAACCAAATTTAAGGGATACGTGTAAAGCAATGCTTAGAGAGAATTTTTTAATTTTAGAATTTATTTATTGGACAGAAAGAGAGTATACACATGTGCACAAGCTCACGTGAGCAGGGGAGGGGTGGAGAAAGAGGGAAAGAGAGAATCCCAAGCAGGCTCCACCCTCTGAGTGCAGAGCCCAACTCTGGGCTTGATCTCCTTAACTCCAAGATCTTGACCTGAGCCAAAATCCAGAGTCAGACATTTAACTGACCTGAGCCACATAGGCACCCCAGAGAGAAATTTTTAGCTGTAAATGCCGACATCAAAAAATATCTTAAATCAATAACCTAACCTTCCATCTTAAGACAACGGAAAAAGCAAATTAAATCTAAAATAAAGCAAACAGAAGGAAGGAAGTAATAAAAAATAGAGCAGGAACTAATGAAATAAAGAATACGAAAACAACAGGGAAAAAAAAATCAATGAAACCAAAAGGTGATGTGACTTGACTTTTGAAAAGGTCAACAAAATTGAACAAGCCTTAAGGTAGACTGACCAAGAAAAAAAGAGAAGACTCAAATTACTAGAATCTGAAACGAAAGAGGACATCATTACCAACCTTACAGAAATAAAAAGGATTATACAAGAATACCAAGAATAACTGTATGCCAATTACTTAAATAACTTAGATGAGATGGACAAATTCCCAAAAAGACATTAAGTACCAAAAAGTGATTCAAGAACAATCAATCAGAAAAACCCTTAAAAGTAAACAGATAAATTAGATGAATTAGTAGTCAAAAAATACCCATAAGAAAAATACTCACAAGCCTAGGACTTAGTTTCACTGATAAATTCTACAAAAGAGCTAAAGAATTATTCTTCACAAACAGTTCTTCACAAACTTTTTCAAAAATAAACTGGAGGAAACACTTCCCAAATCATTCTATGAGCCCAATATTATCCTTTCCAAAAGCAGACAAAGACATTACAAAAAACTACAGACCAATATCTCTCACGAACACAGATGCAGAACTTAACAAAATACTAGCAAACTAAATATAACTGTGCGTGTGTGTGTGTGTGTGTGTGTGTGTATAAAATTACATACCATGACTAAGTTGGGTTTATTCCACAAATGCAAAAGTACTTTAACATCTGACAATCAATTAATACCAATAGAAAAAAGATAGAAACTACATGATCATTTCAACAGATACACAAAAGCATCTGAAAAATCCAACGTCCTTTCATGACAAAAACAAAATGAAGTAGGGATAGAAGGGAGCTTGCTTAATTAAAGGCATATAGGAGAAAGCTCAGAGCTAGCAACATACTTAATGGTGTAACACTTAAGATCAGGAACAAAACAAAGATGTCCACTTTTGCTACTTCTATTCAACATTATACTGTAGATTCTGGATGGAACAATTAGGTTAGAAAAAGAAATAAAAGTCATCAAGACTGGAAAGAATGAAGGAAAACTATCTCTTTTTGCAGATTACATGATCTTACATATAGAAAAACCCTAATGAATCCACTAAAAAAAAAAAACTATTAGAACTAATAAAAAGAGTTCAGTAAGGTTACAGATACAAGATTAATATACAAAAATTAATTGTGTTTGTATACACTTGCAATGAACAATAAAGAAAAAGACCCATTTATAATAGCATCAAAAAGAACAAAATACTTAGGAATAAATTTAACAAAGAAGTACAAAACTTATACTCTGAAAACTACAAAATAGTGTCAAAAGAAATCAGAGAAGATCTCAAACAAACTGACAAGCTGATTGATTCTAAAATTCACGTGGAATTGCAAGTGTCTCTGTACAATCAAAACAATACTGAAAAAGAATAACAAAGAGAACACATAGTGCCCGATTTCAAAAGTTCAGAGAAGGACAAAGTAATCAAGACTGTGTGGTAGAGGCATAAAGACATATAGTTCATTGGAATAAAACCAACAGTCTAGAAATAAACCTATTTGGCTTATATGGCCAACTGATTTTTGACAAGGGTGACAAGACCATTCAATGAATGGGAAAGGGAGAGTCTTTAGCCAATGGTGTTGGATGGATCCTTACCTCACACCATACACAAAAACTAACCCCAAAACTGATCAAAGACCTAAATGTAAGAGCAAAAACTATAAAACACTCACAAGAAAATGAGGAATCTCTGTGACCTCAGATGTGGCAATGGATTCTTAGACAGGACACCAAAAGCAGAAGCAACCAAACACAAGGCTGAATTTCATCAAAATTAAAAACTTAGGTGTTTCAAAGGACACTATCAAGAAAGTGAAAAGACAACTCTCAGACTGGGAAAAAAATATTTGCAAATCATGTATCTGATAAGGGACTTGTATCTAGAATACATAAAGCTATTACAATTTAACTTAAAAAATCTAATTTAAAATAGGCAAAAGATCTCAACAGACATTTCTCCAAATAAGACACACAAATGGCCAATAAACACATGAAAACACACCTGACTAATGAAGTCATCAGGAAAATGCAAATTAAAACCATACTGAAATACCATTTCACGCACACAAGGAAATCTATAATCAAAAAGCCAAATTATAACAAGTGTTGGCAACGAACTGGAACCCTCATACACTGCTGGTGGGAACGTAAAATGGCACAGTTACTTTGGAAAACAGTCTGGCAGTTCCTCAAGTGGCTAGACTTAGAGTTACTACATGGAGCATTAATTCCACTCCTTGTCCACTCCTTGTCCATTTCAAGAGAACTAAAAACCTATGCCACACAAAAATTTGTATAAAAGTGTTTATAGCAGCATAGGAGCCAACTGGTGGAAAAATTCCAAGTGTCCACCAAAAGATAAATGGGTAAGTAAAATACTGTGTATCCATACAATGAAACGTTCATTTGTTCATTAAAAAGAATGAGGTACTAATATGTGCTAGAATATAGATAAACCTTGAAAACATTATGCTACGTAAATGAAACCAATCAAAAGATCACATATTGTATGATTCCATTTATATGCATGTCCAGAATTGCAAAAAGACAGAAATTTGTTCAATGGCTGCCTTGAGTTAGGAAGAAAGGGGGCCGAGGGGGTTGAGGGCTAAAGAAGTCAGGGTTTCTTTTGCAGGGTATCAAAATGTCCTAAAATTGTGATGATGGATGCACAACTTTGTGAATATACTAAAAACCAACGAAATGTACACTTTGAGTGAAACTGTACAGTATATGAATTTTATATCCATAAAATTAAAATTTTTGCATAACAAATGAAACAAGAAAGCCACTAAAAAAAAGTAGAAGGCAGAAGGTGGAGGACCGCTAAAACTCCATTCCTAAACTAGCTCAATTTAATCCCTGTAATAACAATATTGTATCTCAACTTCTGGGCTACAGAGCCAGTGACATTCTAGTGATCCAAGGACCCGGCCAATGGCTTGGTTTACCTATTTTATGCCTTCCAGAGAGATAAAGTTGGTAACAGAGCATTTACCTTCCTTCTCCTTCCCTACAATTAGGACAGGAACAGGCAACTCTTCGAAGCCTCTTGCCAGGCTGCACCTCTTGATCAGAAGCTTGCTGGCCTTGCTGCAAATGCACTTGTGTGAGTTGGTCAGGACTAACAGCACCTATCGTTGCGTTAGCAATTCCTCCAACTGCTACAGTTACAGGAGCTATCGTGGCTTGTTGGACCTTTACTCCATCTTGTCCTTGCTGCTGACCTAAAAATTGGGGGTGAGGGGGAAAGAGTATTATAATGTTTTCTATTTCTAAAGAAAGGATAAAAAAAAAATTCCATGTGGACATTTAAAAACTACCATATTTGTTTTAATAGTTAATCTGTGTAAAATACAACAGCAAAGGGGTTAATGATTTGTATTATGCAAACCCTCCTAAAATACAATATTCTTATTAAGTAGTTCAGGCTGCCTCTCTGGTTGGTGGGACTACACATAAATCATTTAACCCTCTCATGGCTTTAATTTCCTCATCTGTAAAAATGAAGACAACAATACTTGCCACCTACCTACCTCACCAAAGTGCTGTGAGGATTCATGAGACATTATTTGAAAAGCACTCTGAGATCCTCAGATGAAGGATGCTGTATCCATTTCCACAGTAAACAACGTATCTCATTCACTCCAAGAAAATACAGGAGTAAAAAGTAACTAAATGAATGATTAAGTTTTATAGATATTTCTCATTCCTAGATACTTTAGGTTAAGCAAACATTTCTTTACTAAGGAAATCTTTTTTTATTATACACACTGAGTTACGTAGTTTTTTAAAGTGTAAAACCACCCATGATTATTACATACTATCACTATAATCATAAAATAGACATTTAGGACATTACTACTTTATTCACTCATGTAGCTCAGACTTCACCTCTCAGGTTAGTACATATACCAACTTGACTTCTTCACTTAGGGAAAACTATGATAAATAATACATAATATGACAAAAAAATATCTCCTGTGAATTGCACAGGAGTATGCCGTATAATCATCCTTTCTCTCAACACAGTTCTTTCTCCACATCAGTTTTGGACGGGCAGCTAAGAAACACCTATTTATAAAGGAATGTTCCCACCTGTGAGAGTTGATGTAAGAATTAAACAAGTTAATTTTTATAAACTCCTTACCACAGGGCCTGCCACAGAGTTCATTATTGGTTATTTGTTATTATTTGTTAGCTATTATTACTGCTACGAGTGTCCACTGAGTTGGGTGGCAACACCAGAATAAAATATGGTAGCAGAAATAAACACAAGAGAATTGGGTATAAAATAAAGGGTTTATTTCAAAGCTGCATATGTAGTACTTTAAACATTCAGAGCTATCAAGAAAAGATAATAAAAATCAGCAAGTGAAAACTAAACCTCTAATTCTCCTAGCCAAACCTCTAATTCTCCTCTGTGTATTCAAAGCACTCTGAAACCTTTGGTGCAGCATCAATATTTGTAATACAAATAAAAAAAATATGTATTTTGTCATTGTTTTAGTAAGGATACATATTTAGTTTTCCTCCTAACATTTAAATTTTTGATCATCTTTGAATTAACATGGTGTGATAGGTAAAACAGTGCAAGTAAAATCCAAAGTTCTGAATTCATGTCCCATTTGGTGACCGTGCACTTGGATACCCTCAAGTTATCTCACCTCTAATAATGCTGACCTCCCTTAAATTCCTGTCCCTTATCTACTTCAGAGAGTTCTTTCTGACGATCCTAAAGGGTAAAGACTGTAAACTGTAAAACAATACGTACATGTAAAGTATAACTATTATGTCTCTATGTGTCTTTTGAGTACTTAAAAGTTGTACATATTCAGTAAAACCAGATTCCTTACGGATGCCCAAGGTGAAGTAAACTTTTCAAACTACTTGTGTATCTAGAGTCACAGTGATACACATACTCCCTGTTTACTGCAAAATAAATGCACTTATAGAAACAGGAATTCTACCTGAACCAGCACTATACAAAATCTTTATAGCTTGGTCCCTATGGAGTGTGGGTATTTTAATGTGGTAAGTATTCTTTACATTCCTTAAGTCACGAGATATTTCTGGCCATAATTTTTGCAGCTATTGCTCATACAACACTTGGTCATGCCTTTCAAGTTGCAAGGGTATTAGATGCAATGGTAATGCATGTCCTTCATTATGTCAAAGAAGTGCTAGGAATCCCCTGATCACTGGCTGCTCATTTTCCTCAGTTCCTTTGATCATTTCCTCGATAGACTCCTCAAGTCTCCACATTATGGGCATTTATCTGCTCAATGCCTACACAACTTGGCAAGTTAGTCCAATGAATAATACCAAATACCTGAATTTATAGATTTAAGTCTGACCAACTCTCTTGACTTCTTCACCTAGATGTCCTAGATCATTCAAGTTCAACATAGTTCAGTATTACTTTTCTTTCATTTCCACTGCTGCCAGTCAAGTATAAGCCACTGAACTCCTTACCAAGGCTTCCAAGGCCCTGCTCAAGTTTAAACCCACCCTGTCAGACCTCACCAATTATTATTAGTCTCTCCCCTCTCACTCTGCCTCTGACACAGTAACCTTTCTTTCTAGCCCTCAAACAAATCAAGCTCATTCCCTTCTTATGGCCACTGCATATACTCTCTCGTCTGAATGGAAATGCCGTGCCACCTAAATCTTTGCACAGCTGACTCCTTAGTAATATTCTAAGTTCAAAACTCTCCTCTTTAGAAATACCATTCCTGACCACATCATCTAAAACGGTACCTTTTAGTCCATTTCTGTATCATCACCAAGTTTTGTCTTACCTGGTTTAAATTATCTTACCCTTTTTAACTTTTTTCTATCTTTGCCTCCTCATTTCTGAATGTTAAGTGCTATGAGAAAAAGGATCTTGCCTGTCAAGTTCACTGCTGTTTCCAGCCCATGGAACACCACCCAACACATAGTAGCCACTCAGGAACAAAAGCTTAATAAAGGAATTTTTAAAAATTAATTCCTCTTCAAAACTGCTCCTACTAATGTTTCTGTTTTGATAAGTGCTAATTACTACCCTCCTTATTACTACACTCAAAACAGTAAAACGTCAACTTTTAGGCTACTTCTCCTTTACCATTACATCCATGTGATAGCTAAGTTAAAAAGTGCATAAAAGGGTAACAGCTCTTGGATTCATCTTATCTTTCTATTACCAGAACTATAATCTCGGTCCAGATCCTTGTCACTTTGTGCCTCTACCAGCCTAAATGGGACCCACATCTCCTACCTCATCCTTCAAACTGCTTCCAGAAATTTAAAAATGCTCACTAACTTTCAGTCATTCACCATCGGCCAAAGTCTGGCATTCAAAGGACTACACCACAAAGACTTAACTCCTGGCTCACAGACTTCCTCTTCATAGCCAAATCCAATGTGAATTTTCCCACTGAGCGATACATGATTACCCTGCCTCATGTGACACAATCAACCACTCTTTCCTTCTTAAAACTTGACTGAAGGAGCTACCTAATTTCCTACATTCTGAGAAACCCCCTCTTCTTTGTTAGCTATTACCAGCATTTAAATCTAAGCTTCTGTCACGTTTTTATTTTTAAAAGATTTTATTTTCAGGCGCCTGAGTGGTTCAATCAGTTAAGCTTCCAAATCCAGCTCAGGTCAGGGTCTCGTGGTTCATGGGTTCAAGGCCCGTGTCAGGCTCTCTGCTGTCAGCACAGAGCCCGCTTTGGATATTCTGTCCCTCTCTCTCTCTGCCCCTTCCTCCTTCCCCCTTTCTCTAAAAAATAAATAAGGATATTTAAAATTTTTGAAAAAGAAAAAGAAAAAAGAAAATAAAAGATTTTATTTTTAAGTAATCTCTGTACCCAATGTGGGACTCAAACTCACAACCTCAAGATCAAGAGTGACATGCTCCACCGAATGAGCAAGCCAGGTGCCCCTGTGTCACATTTTTAAAAGATTTATCCACATTGGCTACCTTTACTCCTTTCCCATTCTTTCCTCAAACTACTAAAATTCCATGTTGAACCCACCACTCTACTAAAATCATGACAGAACAGCTTCTTCATTCATAAACCCAAAGATACTCTTCTTTTTGATCCTGTTTCATGTCTCTGGAGCACCTGAAGCTGCTAATCCTACACACTGCTCGATATCCTACACGCCTGTGCTTCATTGGTAGTACTCCCACTGGTGTTCCTCCTACTTCTCTCACCATCTCCACGCTGATGTCTTTCTTAGGCCACTTTCTGGTTTTCCGTCGTTTCTTCTAACTCCCTCCTTGGGTTATCTCATCCGCTTTCATAAATTTTACTTCTATTTTAAGCTGAGGTCTCTCAAATCTGTATCTTTGGCTTAAATATCTCTCAAGTGTCAGACTCTTATTGTCATCTGCCAGGGAACATGGCCAACATCTGTCTTGCAGGCGATGTGTCCAAGAATCATACAGGTTATCCTCCTCTCCTAAACTAGCTCCTTCTCATTGCCCAAACTGAAAACTTGGAAGTCGTTCTTAACTCTCCTCCATCCCCACAACAGTAGCTATCATTTTATGCTTATTTACTGGACATCTTACAACTATTACTTCACATACTCCTCACATCCCAATGGACTGAATACTACTGTCCCAATTTTAAGCTAAGAAGACTGAAGTTCTGAGAGGTACATAAAACACCCAAGATCACAAAACAGCTAAGTGACAGAGCTGGGATTTGAATCCAAGTCTAGCTAACTCTAAAAGCTATTCTCCTTCCACTGTATTACTTACATTGACCAGTAGTCTTGTTGAGTATACCTTTTCAAATATCTCAGATTTGTCCATTTTCTCCATCCCTATTGCCTATACAATAGCACAGGTCCTTATCACCATTATGCCAGTTTTGCCCTTTCCAATCCCATACCGCATATACAAATCGGGTTCCCAAAAACTCTATGAGTCTTCAATGAATTCTCAATACAGTCAACATTTCTTGGCACAGTACATAATCTAGTTTTCGCTTACTCTTATAGCTTCATCTCAGTACTCTTCCTCCATTCCCATTCTCAACACCAGCTACATTGAACTCCTACTTCTTCAAATGTTCCATTCTTGATTATCTCTGGGCGTTTTGACTAACCCCCATCCCACATCTCCATCTTTGTTGATCTTGGAAAAGCTGATTCATCTTACAGAACTCAATTCATGTGTCATTACCTTTGGGAAGTCTTCCTGCTAAGCGTCTTTCTGAATCTAGGTCAG